TTGCGAAATTTCGCGAGGAGAAAATGATCCCCGTCCCCGTCCCGCGATGAGAAATATTCTTTCCCGCCCCATCCCTATGGCGGGGATCCCCGCGGGGAATGGGGAGAATTGCCATCCCTACTGCCCAGCCATTATTTCAATTGTGTCTTCCTCGAAAACGCCTTTTGGTTAGCTACAACCTAACGTACCATAGATGGAGTTCATAATCCCATCGAACACCTTTTTCTACCAGGAACATTTAGAATTTTTTTGTTTTTAGGTTCCAGGAATGAGGTGCTTTTATATTAATTTATACATATTTTAAGAATAATAGTTTTTTATCAATTAAAAATAAAATATTCATGATATGACTAAAAAATTCATAATTTTGTAAAAGAGTGTACCATATCATTAAGAAAAATAACCAAGGAAAAGAATGTGGACCGACTAATGTACGTTGAACAAAATAACATACCTTTTTTTATATGATTCATGGTTCTGTAGTGTTGATATGTAAGTTAATTATAAAAATAAATTAAACAATAACTATAATATAATTCACATTAAGACAATTAATCCACAATGCATAGTTTGATCAGATCTTGATAAGATAATTAACCCAAATTATAAAAACATAATATTTTGTCTATAATTTAAATAGTTAATAAAAATAAAAAATTTTAAATTTAAGTTACATGATATATAGTTAAAATGAGTTAAGAGACAAAATAGGGTTGCTTTTTTTTATTGTATAATAAAAGATAAAAAAACATAATATTTTTATTTTTATTAAGAAATTAAAGTGACAACTGAATTTTAACTTTAAAATTCAATAATAAAGTTATTTACATTTTTAATTATAAATGTAATTGCATAAGGTTTAATCTTTGGTCTTTAAAAAAAATTCTTTTTTGGTTGAAAAAATAAAACTAAAGTAACAACAGCCTGTACCCAGCTTCAAAGGCATTATAAAAAATGTATGTTCCCAAAGCAGAGGTTTCTCCAAGAAAAATTAAAAATCCTCCGGAGGGTTTAAGATACTCAAAAGATTATGTTAAGAAAAGTCAAAACTCAAAAGTTTAAGATATCAAAGGTGAACATCGACTGAGCGCTGTTGTAACGTTCATGAATCGTAGTGAATTTCTTTGCGTTAAAAAGACGGTAGGGACTAGGGAAGGCGGAAGGGATGCGTGGAGGATTCACGTCATCTAATGCAACGTTGACTAGAGTAGTTGAAAGACAAAATCAAAAACGTAATTAAGGTGTGCTTAATTAAATTAAATTAAATTAAATTAAATTAAATATAAATAATCCTAGAGTGAACTGAGCCCCACTATATATACTTCTGCAATTCGAAGACAACTAGAGGAGGTTAGGACTGTTAGTAATCAATTCGATCCCTAAACTTAAATTTAAATCTCAATTGATTTCAAACCATTATTTTCATTTTTAAGTTAGTCCCCCAAAGTTTTTTTCTTGGTAGAAAGTCCCCCAAAGTTTCAAACAATCAAAAAATGATCTTCTGTTTGAAGTCCCTCATAAAATGTTGTAAAGAATCACAGAAATTTCAAATAAAAAAAAAAACAAAAAAGAAATCAGAAAATCCGTGTGGGCCCACGTTTGCACCTTTGCAACATCTTGGAGATGGTAAAGCACCCACTTGAGCGTAGCCTGTGTATTAAGAAATAATGTATATAAAAATATTAATTTTATGTTTTTTATTTAAAAATATTAATTTTATCAATATTTAAGTAAAGAGGTTAATTTTTTATTTTTTATTTAAAAATACTAATTTTTTATTTAAAAATATTAATTTTTTATCTTTATTTAAAAATATCAACTTTAATATTTAAGTTAAATTATTATTGCAAATTAAGTTTAAATTAAAATAAATAGGAAAAAGAAAAGGTTTTTATTACAATATGTAAAAAAGTAAGATTCTTTCTATAAAACTTAATTTGTTCGATTTACAATATAATTAATTTTACAATCAAATTAAACACTATAAAAAAGAGGATTTTTAATAACAAAATTTTGTGATGAATTTTGAAATTATCACTATAATTAAATACAATTATGAACATTTTATGATGACAAAAAAAGTTTGTCACTTAAAAAGATATTTCGTCACTTAAAAGAGTCACAGATTCAATATATTCTTATAACACGAAGGCCATTACTACTCATCATACTAGTGACACATTTCAAATATTTGTTACAAATACTAACACACTTAATATTGATGAAATAAATTTATAACTAAAAAAATATTTAATCACTAAAAGCAGTCACAAACATAACACAAGCTTGTGACAATAACAATTGTCACTACAACTTATCACAATTATAACAAATTTCAAATATTAATCACAGACACACACATGGCCAATTTTGACAAAATAAATTCATAACTAAAAGGATAAGTCATCATTGAAAAGCCTTATACCTAATCCAGTATTAATACTATCCGCTTTAACCCATTAGGCTACGAGTGTGGACCTATATACCCAACATCTTTGCCATGCTTTGTCAATGTGGAATTTGCCTAGGAGTATCACATAATCCCCTTTTGAGATTCAGCATCCTCGTTAAGGTTTTTCCCACCACCATTTGAGAGGTCATGCATGGTAGCTCTTATACCATTTGTAATGACCTAACTCACTTTTAATTTTATTATTCGTTTGGCCCATCAGGTCTCATAATTTTAAAATGTGTCAATAGAAGTTAATGGGTTATGACACCCTTAAGCAAATCCCAACTCAACAAAGCATAGTAAAGATATTAGGTATATAAGTCAGTACTTGTTAACCCCTGTTGATGTGTTTTAAAACGATGAGACTCAATGGGTCAAAGTAGCTAGTATTAATAATGGACTAGGTTGTTACCTATTTATAGAGCTACTCTACATGACATCTTGAATGGTGGTAAGGCAAAGGTCAATGAGAATGCTGAG